CAGCCGCATTCCTGCTGCTCCAGTGCCCTTCTGTCTTCCAGGCTAGCGCTCCTCTCCGGGGAGGCCGAACCTAGCGCAGTGTGAGCGTTTCGCTGGCGCCGGGAGCGGTGGGGTCCCATTGTCAAGGCCTATGTTTCCAGGGGCTGATAAATCTTCACCGAACGGCTGAAGCTCCGAGGCGGGGCAGTCGTGGAGTCGCCGGGGGCTTCGGTGACTCTCCCTTTAAGAATATCCTTAAGGAGGAGGTTGCTGGGTAGGAAGCAGTTGCTTCCTGCAGTGTTGATTCGCTGCTAGCACTTGTTCAATATCTTCCTTTCTCCTAACCAAAAGCTTATTATGTTTCGCTTAAAAATTCCTGAGTTGGCTTGTGTTACCAGGTTCTTCCTTAGCCCTTTGGCACCTTACGAATTCTGTTCTAAAATACCTGTGAATGAGTTTTACCCAAGTTTGGATATCTGGGCCTACCTGAGGGTTGCTTGGCGAAGTTGTGATGCTGAAGGCACGAAGGGATTGGTTTGTTTCTGTGAGCTTCAGTGCTGTTTTGAAGCCTTTGTTGGAGCCAGAGAATAGGGCCATTTCATCTCTACATTTTTTTTTTAGTCACTACATACAATTGTGGAAAGAGAAACAGTGTGGAATGGTGGAATGACTGTTTCTAGATCCTGTTTATCTATCGCTACTGACAATTCGGGCAAGAGCTTTTTTTGGAGGGGCAGAGAAAAATCTTCAGACTAGTAGGCTTTTCTAGAAAGTAAAAGGAGTAAAAAAGATGCTTTGTCCTATCTAGGACATATCTCTAAGGAATACAACTAATAGCTTTTTTCTCATTCTATGTTCTGCTTGAAAGCATTTAGGTAAAAACTCAGTAATTCATAGTATTGCCCTTGGGAGTGTGAAGGGACTAGGCTGGGCAGTGGTGGTGCTTGCTTTCATGCTAGAACAGTATAGATGAATTATTTTTTTTCCCCATGTGCAGAAAACACTGTGAATGCTTGTTAGGTTTTGCTGTGGAGATAGTTAGGAGAACCGTTTCTACAGAACTTGAAGCCTCAGCCCCCCTCCTGTTTTGACTGTTCAAGCGCAAGCTTTGTAACTCTGGATTCTCCTGTGTTATTGTACTTTCTATGGTTTGATAGTTCAAGAACAGTTACGGAGTTGCACCTTCCCCCTTTATTCTAGCCTTACCCTTCTAGTGCCACAACAGGACTACGCTACTTCTGTCAAGTCATCGACCATATGTTCATGACAGTAGAATTTATTGCCCTCCAATAAGTTTTTAATATGCTAAAGGAGTATGTTTCTTTTTTTAAAGAAACAATGCAGTTTGGACAGGGGGTAAAGTTTGTTGCTGTTGAATTGGATTTTGAAGTTCAATGTTAGAAATCCCTTTGCAAGGAACGATACCCACTTTTAGAGCTGGTCATGTTAGTTTGATAGCTGTTTGGAATAACAGTCTACTGTTAACTTACTGGACTACGAAGCATTAAAGTATTGCAGGAGTAATGCAAGGTGTCATTCCAGATGTGCACCTCGGCACAGAAGCTATTTTTAGTTGCTTTCCTGAAGTTTGTCTTCATGTTTGATGAAGATTTTGGAGTGTAAGCCCTAGAGATTCTGCTTCCACTGAGAGCTGTAGTAGTATAGCTAGTAATTGCATGCTGTCTTTCAGCCATCCACATAGCGTGCTTGAATCTTACCTCAGTGGGGGTACCATGAATGATAAAAGTAGCCTATTGAGGCTGTCAGCGGTGGGCCAGCTTGAAGGACCCTCATCTGCGCAATGGGCTCTTACACCCTACGGACTGAATTAAATGGTTTAATTGTATGGCGTAACAAATGCCGATTAAACAACAACTACTTTGCAGTTGTCAACATGGCCACTGGTTCGTGGCGTACAGGCTCTGTAATTCCTTATCGGTCCCCAGAGCGATGATAGCACTCCAGTCCTTAAATTCTATGGCAGAAAATGCATGTTAAGCATTCCCGTTGCCGTTACAGTCCAGTACAGCATGTCTGCCAAATTAAACTGGAGTTTAGAAAAGGGGTTAGTGTGTTTAGAAAGGTGAAGAAAAACAAGTATTTTGTGCACTAACATAGCTGTATAACTAAGTCTGTGAAGATGAAGAAACTAATTCAGCACAAAATACCTTCAAAGAAACCAAGCAAAACTTTTCTAAAGACGAGTTGTCTTTTTTCTGATTGAGCTACCCATGAGGGCGAGCTGGCCAGTCTGCCTTAAAGAAACATACATTTTCAAAGTAGAGCTAAGGTCGTACCTGCAGATAAAACTTTCTCTGCGAAGTAACTGGCAGTGTAACACCTCAGCTTTCATCTGGGAGCACGAATCTCTCGTTTGACGTCCCAGCCTTGTTCAACTGGGCGTCCAGCAGGGGTCTGTTTTTCCTGCGGCGAAGCGGGTGACAGCACAGAGGAAGGGCCTTTGCTTTTCACGCCTTCGGCCTTCCTTTGCCCATCTCCTCCTGCCGCCTGTCGCGCTTCTTTTCTGCACCAGCGGCCAGGGCGAAGCTGGGGCGGGGGGGCCCCGGGGCGGGTCCGTCCGGCGGCGGCGGAGCTGTCCCTTCAGCACCGCCCCAGCTGCCCGCCGCCGCCGCCCCTCCCCCGCTGAGCTGCCGGCCGGCGCGAAGCGCTCGCTCAGCGCGTCTTTTAACGCCTTCCGAATCCGCGAAATGCCCGAGGAGGACGCCGGTTGGGAATACCACCAGCATGTGGCCTGGCGGGAGCTGGGGGACGGTCTGTCGATCTTGCTTTCTGGCTTAACGCGTTTGTTTTCGGTCTCTTAATTGACCTTGTCCCTAGGAGCAGCTTAAGTGGGCGTTCTACCCCTGCTGAAATTCTACTGACTGAAGGGGATAGGGCTCAGCATCTGGTTTCTTCAGCTCTTTCATCAGTGAGAAATACCAGAGCTGCCCCCTTTGTGTATTCTCAGTGACAGGGTAGTCTCATATCTGGAGTTATTGTCTTTGCAGTCTCGTTCTAAAATTTCAGTGTTTCTGGTCAGAATCTACTCCTTCATCTTTTCTAGTAATCTGTAGCTCGTGGGCATTTGAACAGCAAGGCTGCTACTGTAGGAGTGAAACCTTCTTTGTTGTGTAAATCCTTGATGTTCAGAGCATTACCCAAAAGATGTACTCGCAGTAACAGACAAATAAATTCTTTTTGTGTTCTGGACTGCAAAGGACCTCTCTTCCTTTTGGTAGACTTTCCTGATCACTTTTCTATCTTGTTTCCCATTAATCTTTTGTTCATGGAACACTAGGAAAAAGAGCACAAGCATCCTTATTAAGCTAGCTAAGGATTTGCATATGTTGGCTGTACTGCATAGGAAGCTTGATGATATAATCCCTCTACATAGTCAACTCCTAGCTCACAGGTTTGACCAGCTTACAAAAGGAAGCCAGACTTTTAAAAATCATGTTCAGGGAAGATAGAGCTCAGTCAAAAAAAAAAAAAAAATTAAAAAAAAAAAATCTGCAGCTGTGGACAGCAGAGTTCGTATTAACTCCATACAGTTTTGTGACCATGTCTTGTATTATAGGCTTATACTTAGAAAAGACATTTGATTGGAGTAAGTAAAATATTTTACTTAAGCAGAATCTAACCTGCTCCCTTGCTTTGTATGACTATGTAATTTCTTTTAAAAACAGTGGAGAGTTTTATGTATACAATCGGTAACTACAAAACCCAGTAATATAATACAGTACTCTGAACTAATAGCTATATCAGGTAAGTCCATTACAGACTTAACTTCCTTTCTACTAGACAAAGCAGGGGAGTCGTGTCAGCTTTGGCATTTCAAATGCAGGAGAGTATTAAAAGTATCGGTGACTTTCTGCTTAAATCCTTGCATTATGGTGTTTTTCCTTTAAAGCTTTTAAAAATTTCTTTGGCTGGAATTGGTAACCACCAAAATATCAGAATAGCATCAATGGTATCTAACCAGTGGCCTACCACTACTGTTAATTCAGCTGTGTTAGCGTGTTTTCAATGGTCAGTATGTGTTTTTTCCATTCTATATTAGTCAGTATTGGATGGGTTCTTTTGGCCATCTGTGAGCATAAACTATGTTTAGTGTACAGTTGTACAGGATATATTTTCGCACTGATGCAATTTTTTTTTTTCTGAATTAAGACATCTGCATCTGTAGATTTTTACTATACAATGCCAAGTAGCCACCAGTTACTGTGGCAGCCTGTAAAGTATAGCTGTGAGTGCGTGGGAATGGAAAATGATGATTCTGTTATTTCATATAGTTTCTGTAATAAAAATGCAGTATGCATTAATCAAAAAGTGTTTTTCTGATTGCTAGCTCTGCATACTCAGTTTGTGGTCTGATCCATCTGTTTGTCACACTGTTGTCAGTAGTGTCAGAATTGGTTAACGGATCTCTTGTGGGGAATGAATCTGCAAAGCCTGTAGAGGTGTGGAAGAATAAGTGTGGTTTGGGAAGGACTAAAAGATTGTTAGTGGCGGTTGAATAAAAGACATATAAGGGACAAATGCGGGAGCAGATGCATTTTGTGTTGAATTTTAGCTATGTCACATTAAGCACTGTATAGTGAAGGCAGTGGAGATTAGCCTGTGGGTGTGTTTTTCTTTTTTGGAATCTTGTACTGTCATTGAGGGCAGGAAATGAAGGGTTATCCTTAAGGGGGTGTCAGTGTTAGAAGGATTTAAGTGTGTTTAAGAGGAGGCTATTTTATTAAGTGTGTCATTCACCACCATTAGGTCTAATTTGTCACCATTCACAGTGAGTACTTCATACAGGTTTTATGATACTGCAAGATCTGTTTTACCATGTTATTTGGCAATGAAGGACTGTCAGAAGGGACTGCTGCTTTCATTTGTATTGTTTTGGAGTGAAAATTGGTCCTTCCTTCAAGGGTAAGGGTGAGGCTGGGCAACACAGACCTTCAGCTGATGTACTGGCTGCATAGTTGCTAAATGTTTACGTCTTTTTTTTTCCTCTTTCCCTAGTCCTGGAGATCGACTTCTCAGAGCTTGTTCTGGAGGAAATCATTGGCATAGGGGGCTTCGGAAAAGTGTATCGAGCTGTATGGATAGGAGATGAGGTTGCTGTCAAGGCAGCTCGCTATGACCCTGATGAGGACATCAGCCAGACCATTGAGAATGTCCGCCAAGAGGCCAAGCTCTTTGCAATGTTAAAGCACCCCAACATCATTGCCCTCAGGGGCGTGTGTTTGAAGGAACCTAATCTTTGCTTGATCATGGAGTTTGCCCGTGGAGGATCACTAAATAGAGTGTTGTCTGGTAAAAGGATACCTCCTGACATACTAGTGAACTGGGCAGTACAGATTGCAAGGGGAATGAACTACCTGCACGAGGAAGCAATTGTTCCCATAATTCACCGTGACCTGAAGTCCAGCAACAGTAAGTGCTACACAGTGAACAGCCAGGGTGCTGGGATATGTTTTTTCGAAAGAAATCGTATGAAGAGGGGAGTAATGTTAACTTAGCGATCCTTTCTTGTGAACCACTGTATCCTCTAATTCAATCCCAGAGGGGTTTATTTTTCTACAGTATGGTGCTACAGACCACAGGAAACATGTAAATGCTTTCCCTTTGTAGAAGCAACTTAAATGACTGGATGCAAAAGCAACTGTAAATGGAGCATGCTTTTCTAGTAGTTTATATATATATATATACAGTGTATCGGTTTTATTGGCATTTCAGCAGACTCCTGTAGGTTGGAAAGTCTTGTTGAACTTAAAATGTGTATTCTCCTTCCACTTTTTGGAAGGATAAATGCTCCTTTGGGAAGATAAATGCTCCCAAGCTTTCATTTTACTTGCTAGATTTTGCTGTATAGATGAGATGCAAGCCTGTTTTCCATATGGGAGATTTAACCTGTCCCTGCTGAATTGGATCTTCTCTCTATCCCTCGTAGAGCTGGAGTTGACAGAAACATTAACTTGGGTAAATGAAATATCCCAGTGGGTGCCCTTGTACACCCAGGACTTCAGCTTGTGGTGCTTTACATGGGATGCAGCTGACCCATTAGAGCATGGGGACTGAACTTTGGTAGTTAGGATTCTGGAAATCATGGTGAATAGCTACTCTGTAATACTAATAGCGTTATTGTCTGCCACTTGGGTATTGTTTTTGTAGTGTGTCTGTTTTCCCAAACTTAAAATTGCCTTGAAGTCAAACGCGTGCATAGAACATTATTTATGAGTGTGGAAGCAAACTGCTGCAGTGGTTTAAAGATCATCATCTTTCCGATGCCTGCATGGAGCTGTTTAGCCTTTCTCTCTGCTTGTCTGTGTCTAGATGGCAAGAGCAAACACATACTTGCGTGTTGGCTGCAGTGGTTTAGGTACGTGTGTTACTATGAACCCATTTTCATTTATGGCTTGAATTAATATGAACTGGGTGGCTGGGATGCAGGCAAATGTTCTCCTTTGCTTTGAGGGCAGTAACATCTAGCAAAGAGATCTGACAGATGGCAATTTTAATATCTTAAATAGATTCGCTGGAGCTAGCATTAACCATTACAACGCTGCAAATTTCCAGGCCTCGCAGAATCTTCCTGTGGTTTTTTGGCCTCAAATCTTGTGGCAGTGAATTTACATAGTTTGTTGTGAAGGAAAAAAAAAAAAAACAACAAACTGATATTACTAACTCTTGTTAGTGAGTTTGAAGATAGGAACTATAAGAGCTTTCAAATTGGTCTCTATAATATTATTCTTACACTATGAAAGTTTCCCTTTTTGTTAGAGTAAGGCAATCTTAATGTCTATAAAGATTTCGTAATATCTAAACCTTTCCCTTACAGATGGCACTATATATGGGCATATTGATAAATGCTATAAAATGAAGGATTGATTGGCTTGGTTAATGGATGACTGGCTGCATCTGTGAATAAGAAATAGTTGCCTTTAAGTGTTGGACCTTTCCTCCTTACCTAAGAAAATATTTACTTGCTTGTTTTGCTAACAGGCCATTAAGACTTTCTTGCTTAATTTTCTAAGATAAAAAGCTGTTAGCTCCCAGTAGTCACTGTTTTATTCAGACTAGAGACTGCTAGTTGTGAAAGGGAAACATATTAAGCAGAGAACCAGCCCAGCCAGTGGGACACCAGTGCACAGTATCACCAACCACAGATACGGATGCTAGAAAACATCTGTACTGTCAGCAGCAAGAGTAAATGTCTCTTGTCACAGTGAATCAGCAGTACGTAGTTGTGCTGCACTGTAAATTATCAGTGAGAAGTTGAGGGGTTTGCTACATATATTACTAGAATTTTCCTCTTTTGGGAGAAAGCAATAGTAAAGGAAGAGGAAGAATGAGTGGGAACGCCTGTGGAAGGATTCAAAGACGTCCTGTGTTTGGAGGGGAGAGGTGGAGAATTTATGTGGTGATCTTGACCAAAGATAGCATCAGATCTAGTACAGAAATTATGGGTATAGGAAAATTCTAGCCCAGCTAAGTCTGCAGAAAGCAGTATTGTATTTGGGAAACTAAAAAAATGTAGAAGCTGGTACTAGAGGGAAGGACTTCACATATTTTAAGGAAAATTCACTGTTTTGTGACTCTGTTTTGAAATAGGATGAATTAGTAACCTCAGGTATGGGCTTGACAGTACAACAGTTGTTTACTTTAGTTTGGCAATATAGAGTTCTTCATTATGTGCTGTGTGGTGGAAGAGAAAAAAAGGTCTATATTACCTATACATGCAGGTAGGCTTAACTCGTTGTTATCTGTAGGATAAATAACTTTGGACTGTCCAAGTCATGTCTTTTCTGAATACTCTGTCACTGCATTGCTGAAATCCCTTTTCCATTATATATAATAAGCATCCTGGAAATTCCCCTGCTCTGTTTTCTATGGAAAGCTTTTTTACAAGTTTTGTAAAGATTAGTGGACTAAGTATGTTGTTACATCCTGATTTATATATGGCTTGCGTTTTCTATATTTTTCTGATGTACTTAGTTTTCTCAATTACTGTGGATAATCGAGAACAGGTTACGTTGTTAGCTTTGTGCCTGTAGAATTACAAGCTTGTAGCATTTTCTTTGCACAAGTTACCAGCTACCAACTGATAGGCAGTAATGTGTCTCTGGAGAAGGAACAGCTTCTGCTTGCAAGAACTTGGAAAAGATTTCTTTCACGTACTAAACATCTACGAATACTGTAGACCTGTCATGGGAGCATCAGCTGTATTGATCTGCTGATTGGTACTGCCTATGTTTAATAATAGATAGTGATTCTCATACTTCTCATCTTGCCTTCAAGCACCAGCTGGGACCTGCACTATCCATCCGAAGCTGCAGTATGACTTAGTTTGAGAGTTAAGGAACAAGATGGGGGAGTGGGAAAGAACAGAGTTGCCTTATTTAAAATAAAATTTTCTGCCAGAATAGAAGAAAATCAGAGAATGCCTTGCTTTCAGATGTCTGCCTCTATTTAGGCAGATAGAGAATGCATAAGGACATTACTTCATGATGAACCTTTTAAGAAGGTCATGTTACATTTTGAAGAGTAAAATAAATCAGCTGGGCACCTTAATACAAGTCTGAGAACTTACGCCATTACATATGTATAAGGCTTTGAAAAAAAATATCCTTTTTAATCTAAACTTATTGTAGCCTTGTGGACTCAAGTAATAGGTACCAAAACAATGCTCAGAATAGTTCTCAACATTTCTGATAGCATAGTGAAGAACATAAGGTTTTGATTGCTTTGGGAGGTAACTTCGCCTTGTATAGGGACTGAACTGCAGGGGATTATCTGAAGATTCCAGGAGGTGTCTGATTGTTGAGATTCTCCTTGTCAAAAAGCACTCTCCAAACCAATTGTCTGTTTTCCTTTTAACCAAAAAGGTGGACATTTTTTTAGTTCCATCATTTTTCTTCATTTTTTTTTCTCCTTTTCATTATCATAACTTAATGTTTAATGATAATACATTTAGAGTGTAGGAAGAGTGCCCTGTACATTTTAAGTACTGTGTTCATTTGAGGCAGATTTTCATTGTAAATCTTGGAGGTTCTGAGGGCTGCCTGTTTCATCGGTCTGGGGATGGTATCAGGAAATGAGTACATAAAGATCTTTACAGAACAAATTGCACACCTGTGACTTAGAGACCCTGAAATTCTTTTGCTGGGTGTCAGCTCAGTTGGCAGTGAGGCTGATAGGTGAGTGTTCCAGTGGTATTACCAACTCGCATGTCAGTCATATAACTGTACAAGAGAAAGAAGATAACCCAGGAAAGCTATTTTGTTCCGCTGTGTGAGGAGAATTTTTTTTTTGGCATTTGATTCAAGAGATTCAATTTATTCCATATGAAAATTAATCTTATTAATCTGACAGAATTCTCTCTGGCTTCTTTTTCTTCTCATGATCTGATGATATTGGTAACCTTTCCCTCTGCAGCTGCATGTTGGTGTACCGCTGAGTGTATGTTACAAAATTGGTAGTAGGCCTCTCCCAATGTGAACGCTCCTAAATAATCTAAATGCTGAGCTACAGAGAAAAAGCAACTAGGAATGCCCACTGAAGCCAACATCACTGTGTTTAGCATAGTTCTTAGAGTTTCCCTTTCTCTTATCTCTCACCTATGGCTTGAGTCTCATTTCTGGCCAGAGGAAGGTGCTTGGCATATAATGCTTAGGATCAAAAAGGGCAGTCCTGTTGGTTTTAGTGAAGTATTGTAAATAATGAAGCTGGTCCTGTTTGTTCCTACTTGTCTGTCAATGTTAGATATGCCAGTATTGCTATAGGAATAATGCCAGTTAACTAATGCTGCAGAGAACTAGCAAAAGCATATTTGTTCTTTTTTTGACTGGCTCAGCAAAATACATTTGTTATTTGCACTACATTGAAAGATTTTGCTGAGGGTGTTCATGCCAGTTAGCGAAGTGCTTTATAAAAGTCACTATCTTTGTGTTCCACAGAGTGGCACAGAAGATTAGCAGCAAAGTGACAAGGCCAAGGTCAAAGAAAGAGGTAAGGACAGAGCTCAAAATAAACCCCAACAATTCTGATTCAGTCAAGTCAGTAGTTCTTCCCTTCTAGTTCTTTGAAGGTGTTCACCTCTCCTACTTCTTGGACCATCAAGGTAAGCTTGTGATATCCTGAGATTTAGAAAGCTCTAGCTTTCTAAAGAGTTCCAAACTCCGCTATAGCTTTGCTTATTTTATGCAGTTGTTAAGCCTTTTTCTGTTCATAAAGATGCTAATAGAGCTGACTTTCACATGGTCTCTGGACAGTTGTTCCTAGGACTTACAATATTCCTTGTTCGTTTTTTTTTTTTTTAATACAGCAAAATTTAGAAGCAGGGATTCCTTGCAACTAGTTCAAATCCAATCCAAGGGCAACAGGACTTGAATGTTACATATCAATCTTGATAACACGTCATTAGTTATCTCATT